TTATTATCTTTAATCTTCTTTCTTGAATATTAATTCTTTCTTTAAATACTATTTCTATATCAATGTTGGGGAGTGTTACTAAGATGACAATTAGTTAACATCTTGACATTAGTTATAGTAATAGTTATTTCTTCCTCTACGTTAATATCGGGGAGTGTTACTAAGATGACAATTAGTTAACATCTTGATATTAACTATAGTAGGATTCATCTTCTTTAATATTCTTCCTTGAGTATTAATTAATTCCTATTCATATTTCATATTAATATTTTGAACATTACTTAAAGGATCAACTAGTTTTGTTTCATATATTAATTATTACTAGAATCAATCGGTTAATACGCTTGTTATTAATTCGGTTCTTTCAATGGTAGTAAACTTGGGTTGTTAATGCATGCTTCTCATGATTAATAAGCCAAGGGGAATTAATTATATTGATTAAACCAATAAACTGCTTGTGTTGAGGTTATCAATCTCAATCGTTTTCATCTTGATTTTATTGCTACTATCAAGTTAATATACGGCGCTTGTTCTATATTGACTCGGTAGTAAGTTTTATTAATGAATGCGTCTCGTTATTAATAACTACCCTCGATGAACTGGATATACTCCTCGATTGAGTATTCGAGAGGAAGATAGTTAAAGATATAACCGGGATCGACGAACATTTCATTAAGTGGATAAAAGCAAAGCCAAGTTTTCTTCTCATTAATTAAACCACATAACTCGTTCATCTTCGTGTTTAATTTATTAAACCAAATCAAACTAAAACCCCCCCATTTTGTTACTAGTTCTATAAAAAGAAAAGTATTTCTTTCCCTGTGGATACGAACCTTACTACACTATACTACGTATTAGTGTCGTATTGATATTTATTTTGAGTGCACCTCACGACAAGTGCACGTCATTTACTTACGACTTACTTGGAAGCATGCTTTAAGTTGGAGAGTAGCAGTCCTTCCCCATTACGACTTCTATTAACACATTTTTTTCATTCAATTTTTTTTTGAATTGGTTGTAGATAAAAGTTATATTAATAAATGAAGTTTTTCATTGAAAGTATAATCTAATAACCATACTAAATTGATTAATTTACTCGATTCAAACTTTTTATTCAGCATACAAAAATAACAACTTCATATACAAATATCATTGTATCCCTACATACATCTTAACCACAGACGTCTTAAGTCAGACATGACTAAATAGAAAAAAGTAAACGACAACTCTTTAGTTTAATATAGAGCTTGTTTGAGAACACTAAAATTGATCGAATCGGCTGATTATGCTGAAAATGATTAAGTTTTGACTGAATGGCATACATAATTATTTTTTAATTTTAACAGTGAGATGCTTCATTTTACTCATTATTTTGACATATTGAAAATGTTTAAAAGTGTAGTTTTTTAAATTTCAAAACTCTTTTCGCAATTGGACAATGATGAGTTGTCTAATTACTCGAATACGGAGTAAAGAAAAGTAGTTTGAGGAGTCCAGGGATTTCAAATGTATTCCACCTTCCATGGTCAATTCAAATGCTAGATCCACTCATGAAGAGCACCATAGCATATTCTAGTGAGTGGGATCAGATTCTTTTGATCTGCATTATTTTAAATTTCCTCCTGTTTTTGTTAATAGTAAATGGTTTAAGTAATAGTATTACCTCATTGTGTTTATTTGTAATGATTAATGAACAAATCAGTATTTTATTAACTGATCATTGTTGTCGTTCGTATTCTCATGAAAAATATCATTAGATTTTTGTGTAAAATAGATGTATCAAAACTCGAAATTTTAAAAAAATATTCTTCTTCATTAATCAGAATCATGCTTAAACAAATTAAGTTGTCTTCCCTTTTGTGATTGATGCATCACAGGGGCGCGTAACACGAACTTTGATTGTCCAGTCGGACTTGAATGTATCAAGTTGACATATTAGAGAATAATTTCTGCAATTTATTTAATTTTCATCAATCGGGTATAATGCATAATATCACGTATTATAAACATATTAATGGTAAAGTATCATACTCCCATAGTTTTTAATAATGTGTAATTAAAATGTTGTATAAACTTATTGTGATGACATTCCTGTTTATGATCTCTAAACAATAGAACTCTTCAAACGAAGGAGAAACGTACTCGAGTAAAACTGAATAGTGAAGCTACCAAAACATAGTTTAGTTTACATTTTTCCTTTTTATAATAGCAAGTGTTCAATTCTATGTAATATTTGTGTTTCTAAAATCCGAATATAGAAACACAAAATATAGCCTACGACCTACGTAGGTTTGTAAAGTTTTGAACTTATGCTTCTAAAATCCCAATATAGATGGAAAATTGAGAGTTCTATATTTATTTAAACACAAGATCCCAATAAAATCTAAATATAGAACTTATTTAAACCCAAAATCGTTTATGATATGGAATCCCAATATATATGATGAGATTGATGACACGGTTTGCCCTCTTTTGGGAGATTTTAAAAAATAAAATAAAAAGTATAAACAGTTATTGAGTAATTGTTATATATGATGACATGGCAAGATTACGTGGCACACCGTATGCTCTTAAAAAGTTTCTCTTTTATATATATATATATATTGATTATTTCATAATAATAACTTAATGAATAACCCAAAGAGTTCCTATCGTGTTTCTAAATAATTTAAAAAAAAATTATGTTTGCCTAACAAAAGATCATAACTTTATTGTACAAATGTGCCTATTTCGGCTTCCACAAACTCATCAAAGTTTCCGGTTCTAGGAAAATCTCGTTGATCTTCCTCTCTTTTTATCTCCAGTGAAAGCACTTAGGATATTCCAAACATCCATTCGCTGTCACCCGGAAGTTGATATATTATTTCAGCATATGCAATGAACATGAAGTTCTTAGTGTATCCTCACACAAATCATACAAATCACACTACTATTCACTAATTAGCAAGGAATATAGTATGTTTCTCTTTAATATGAAATTCAAAACTCAAAGACTTATTATACCGCTTCGAACGATAGCCTGGCCTCGTGCTCAGGGTTAGAGGGTACTTGAGTTATTGACACCTTTTATCTTTCACCCCTACATCCTTAAAAATGCAACTATTGGATACTCTATTGTTAAAGTCTCATCCCGAATATCTTGGCAATCGACACTATTAATATCATTATGTTGCATCAGTAAGTTAGGATTTTCCTTTCCGGTGTACTCCGTATAAAAAAAGGTTAGTTAGGATTTTGCCCATGTACTCTTATCAAAATTTTCAAGATATTTAACATCACAACATGCGTCTTAGTTCACCATAGGACCCATTGAAACTAGCCATTGTATAAGCACTTGCAACTTGTTGAAACAATTCAGCCATACCTTGGGGGCTTAAGCCTCAAAACACACCTTTAAGGCATTTGAGGCTATCCACCTCAACCAGTAAGTTACTTTTTTATACAACCATATTGTGTACACTCCAATAAACCCTCAGTCCATCCAGCGGAAGCTTAAGCCTCGGTTTTCCTTTCAATGATTCATATTGATGGCAAGGCCTCAAGGCGCGTTTCAAAAACGTGTTTTAAAATCATGATCTTTCTGTAGATGTACTTTTAAAGTCTTAATAGTTTTGTTGCGTTTATGGACTATAATGAACTTGCTGCAATTAATCTTTTCTTTTTGGCCATTTTTAGACTTTAGAGTGACTTTTTGAGTGGGCTTGTGTACAGTCCAATAACACAATTCAGATCCTAATCTTTCTATATCGTAAACACCGAGATAATGCCAAAACTCCCAAAGGAGAAAATGTTTGGTCCCTTCCAGACTGCATTTTCAATGGGAACCACAGAGTCAATTCCAGTCAAGTTCAAAAAGGAGACTCGGAATAGATTATGATCCCGGCCGCCCATAAATTGGAAAACTTCACCTTCTTTTCCTGCTCCAGGCATGCCTAAATATACGTCACACGAGGGCAGTAGTCAAGGGCAGGGGCAGGGGCCTAACCGGGCCCCGATCCACACCAATTTGAAACATATTTGTACTTTACGTGTAAATATTTATCCGGAAAATCTACCCCAACTTTTTCTCCTGCCTACACCATGGGAGTAGTGGTTTGAGATCACTAAACAATTAGGGGGTAGAAATCATGCGGCATCTCATAAAGAACCTGCCTGCCCCAATACATATCAACTTTGAGGGAGTTGTTCAAAAAATTTCAGTGGATAATAATTCATCCTTGCATTACCAGATTACCACTAGCTTTACACCTGATGTGGGTATGTGTTTTGATTCTTCTCCTGTTGTGACTTCACTAGTAGGTTCTCGGCTTCAGATTAGACCGATAGAGGTCAATTATGTCTGGGCACTGCTTATAGACAACAAGCATTGTTAACGGGCAGATAGGAGAACTTGTTGCTTTCAAATACTTGGAAATTTCAGTGAAGCATGTGACATGGGTTAAACGAAACAATGGAGGCCGGTTGGGTTGCCTTATGACCTTGTAATGGGAGATAAGAAAAATACATAAGAGTGAAGTGAACCAAACTTGGAGAAAGGATTGGTTCAGAATGTCCATTAGGGAGTGGCAATTTGCAGTTGAAAAGGCTCAACTCGTCCACCATTGCACATGTTGTGTTAGCAGACTGATAATACAAATATCATGTCAGACTCAGCTTGGGAAGCTACATTTAGTCCTTACAATCCACTAACCTCAAGCTGAAAGATCTCAAGATTTTGAGCATGTTAACACAATCAACACTTTGCATGCAGAAGTATGATACAATGAACTAATTAATCGCATGATCCTAGTCATGGAGGATGGAACTCACATTGTTCAAGGGCCAAAGATAGTATAGCATTATAGCAATTCTCGATGAAGTTCTTGATTCTAATAAAATTGATCAAACACGACCAAATAGGCAACGCTAAACAACCAAAGCGCTGCACCTAACAAAGTTCCCAAATCTAGCTACACCCAATCGGATCAAACTAGACACGTGTATGATACAATTTGATGTTTCCACGAAAATAAATCAAGGTACAAATTCACAGGTTGAATTGATAGTTTAACCAATTTGGCCAGTTTTAAACTTTCAATAAAACCATATGTATTTTGACTAAAGATATATACTACGTACAAAAATATGCATATATCAAACATTCATACAAATTGAAAAAGATGTGTAAAGTACAACACATACATTAATTTGAAAGGAAAAAATAACATCCATCCACTTCACTACAACCAAAAGTAACAATACGACCCTAGTAACATTTTTATCATACACTATAAAAATGTCATTCTGGACTAAGCCACTACCAGAACAACAGCCGCCTGAATTGTCAAACCGTCTGTCCACCACAAGTTCCTGCAACATGCACATTTTTGGAATTAAATCAGTTGGTCCAGTAAAAAAAAATGTCATGGGAAAAGGGTACAAGGTCATATTTTTTATTATATCCACATTATTTAACACCCCCTATCCTCTCTTATTGCAAAAGCGAATTAAATGGGTTTTCCATAACACTCACTCGGTAGACCATTAAATTGAACCCCAGCCACCACCTCCTGGGGTCAAAACGCGAAGAATTTGTCCAGGTTGAACTTCAAACATGCTTTTCCCGCCAAGATACACAGTACGATTATCCTTTGTAATGAGGTAATTGGATCCCCGAGCCCCATTTTGGCCTCCCCTCAATCCCTTTGGTCTGTGCACACGCCTTTCCGAAAGGATACTCACAACAACGGGCCTTTTGAATTCAATTTCTCTGATAAGCCCATCACCCCCTCTGTGTAGTCCAATGCCTCCACTATCCTCTCTGATCCCAAATCTGTGCAATACAACAGGGTACCTCTGTTCAAAAATTTCAGGATCTGTCATACGGGTGTTGGTCATATGACACTGCACACCGCTGGTACCTTCCCACGTGGGCCCAGCACCGCTTCCACCGCCAATGGTTTCATAATATCCAAAACTCTCATCCCCAAATGTCAAATTGTTCATGCAGCCCTGTGAACAGGCACAAGCTTGAAATGCAGTGAGGATGACATCAGTTATTCTCTGAGACGTGAGGACATTACCACCCACAACAGCAGATCCATCACTGGGTGAGAGAAATGAACCTGGAGGTATATATATCTTCACAGGAGCCAAGCATCCTTGGTTTAGAGGGATGTCAACATTCACCAAACATCTTACACAATAAATGACGGCTGCAGCAGTTACAGCTTCTGGAGCATTCCAGTTACCATAAACTTCAGGAGTGGTCCCTGAAAAATCGAAGAGAGCTTCTCCTTTTTCAGGATCAATAGTGAGTTTTAAGTGTATGGTTGATCCATCATCCATGTAATCTTCCTCTTCAATAGTGACTAAACCTCCACCTTCCCTAGTGGACACTGACATGTCAGCAGCAACAGATTTGAGCATCTCTCGGACTGCTCCTTCTGCATTTGCCTGTACATGATTCATGTATGCTTGGACAGTCTCCAGGCCGTACTGATCAATAAGTTCCTTTATAAGGGCAATCCCTCTCTGATTCGCAGCAACTTGTGCATGAAGATCTGATAAGTTATCTTGAAGCCTACGGGTTCCTGGAATTTTATGGAGTGGTCCGTCAGAAGTTGGGAATCGAAGAAGGCGTGTGATTCCTTCTTCTTGAAAAACACCCTTTTCTACGAGCTTGAAGGCCTTTACTGCAGCTCCTTCCTCCCATATGAATTTTGAGAAGGGTGGCATACTTCCAGGAGTAATACCTCCAATCTCCGCATGATGCCCTCTACTTGCTACAAAGAATATCAATTCACCTTTGTTAAAAACAGGTGTTATGACAGTAATATCAGGTAGATGGCTTCCTCCAGAGGAAGGGTGATTGGTGACCAAAACATCTCCTTCATACAGATTGTCACCCCAGTATTGCAACTGCCACCGGATTGTGCTAGACATTGCCCCCAAGTGAACAGGAACATGGGGTGCATTTGCTACCAAGCCCCCATCGGGCCCAAAGAGAGCACATGAGAAATCAAGCCTTTCCTTGATATTCGTGGATATGGATGTTCTCTGCAGTGTGCGGCCCATCTGTTCAGCAATCCCCATAAACCTGTTGTTGAAGATTGACAGTTGGACAACATCAGCCACCTTTCCCTCCACTTTCAATGTGTCCAAAGTTGACTCAATTTCTATTCTGATGTTGCCATATTTGGTGATGATCGATTTACAATTGGGTTCTACTATCACAGTGCTGTTACCGTTCATTATAATGGCTGGTCCCTGAATAACATGGCCATGTGCCAGACCCTCAAGCTTGAATAAAGGAGTTTCACGCCATTTATCCCCAAAATATACCTTGTGATGAGTTTCAACTTTAGGGATGGACGAGGCAGGCTCTAATGCATGTGGCCTCAATATATTTGTGCCACCAATACCACGAACCCTTACATCACATACAAGTATATGTCTGTTTACAAGTTCAAATCCATATTCTCCTTTGAATAGTTTGACAAACTCACAGGCATAATCATCACCAGCAGGTCTTTTCACCATGATTGCCGTGTCAGTTCCCTCATACCTTAAATTTAAGTATGTCTCAGTGGTGATGTTTTCCTCTCTGAACCCTTGCTGTAGCAGATTCTCCTTCACCTGCTTCAGCAAAGCAGCTTCTCTGCGAGATGCCTCAAGCACAGATTCAGGGCCATAAACAGCAGAATATGGTTCTTGGGCCTCTTCAACCACATCTGACATTCCCATCCCATAAGCACTCAAAATTCCACAGAACCTATGAATTAGGATTTCATTCATACCCAATGATCTAGCGATGGCACAGGCATGTTGAGGTCCCGCACCTCCAAAGCAAGCAAGAGCGTGGTTCCTTGTCTCGTGGCCTTTCATCTCAGTCAATTGCCTTATGGGACGACACATGGTTTCATTGGCTACATTCACAAACCCCTGCGCAATCTCCTCCACAGTCATATCCTTTGCACAGGGGTCCTGAATCTTTCTATAGGAGTTGATATCCTTCGCAAGTTTCACGAACTCTTTTTTTGTAGCATCAATGTCAAGCGGCTGGTCTTCATTTGGACCAAAAATAGAAGGGAAGTATTCAGGAATTATAAGCCCTAGAATGAGATTTGCATCTGTGACAGATAGTTGCCCCCCTTTTCGATAACAAACTGGTCCTGGGTGAGCACCTACAGATTCTGGTCCCACTCGAAAACTTCCGAACTGAAACTTTAACTTTGAGCCACCACCAGCGGCTACAGTGTTTATGTCAAGCTGAGGTGCCTGAATGATCGTGCCAGCAATTTGTGTTTCAATGACTTGTTCATAGCTACCTGCATACCTACTAACATCAGTAGAAGTACCACCCATGTCAAAACCTATGAGGGCCTTGCTTGTCTCAATTCCAAAAAGCGTCTGTGAGTAACCAACTACACCACCTGCCGGACCGGACAAAATCGCTTTGTGGCCAGAAAATCTGCTCTCAGGTGCTAGCCCTCCATCTGATTGCATGAATAAGATATTTAACTTCTCTAGTCCATCAAATTTAGACATGAACCCACATAAATATTCCTTAATGACTGGAGTCAAGTATGCATCAACACTTGCCGTGAATCCTCGGGGTACAGCGCGAACCATTGGAGTCAGAGCTGATGATAATGATACATGTCTAAAGCCCAAACTCATAGCAAGCTTTTCAACTAGTATCTCATGCTTTGGGTAAGTATAAGAATGCATCAAAACAACAGCTAAGCAACTGATACCTTTTTCGAGCAGAGCTCTGAGCAAAGGTTTTAGAGCTCCTTCATTTAGAGGCTTCACAACTCTTACGTGCTCACCTGAAACGCCCTGAAATATTGAGGCAGAAGAGTCTGAATCTAATTCATCTTTATTATCGACTAACTCTACCCTCTCATCAACCTCTACAACCTCCTCGTAAAGATTAGAAGGCTTTGATACAGTTAGGTCAAAAATATTTGGACGCGACTGGTTACCAATTTGCAGCAAATCTTTGAAGCCTCTAGTCACACAGAGTGCAATCCTCTCCCCTTGTCTCTCTAGCAAAGCATTAGTTGCCACAGTTGTACCCATCCTTATCCATTCTATTTTGTCTGTAGGGATTTTTGAGCTGCGGGAAAGCTTCTTCCCAGTAAATTCCTCCAACACCCTCCTGATTCCTTCTACAGGAGCATCATCATAGTTGGAAGGATCGACAGATAGTAGTTTCATTACACGGCCTTCAGGCTGTCCAGGAATCTCAGCATAAACATCAGTGAACGTGCCCCCTCTGTCAATGCAAAATCTGAGTTTCTCATCATTCAAGCTCCCCATCACCACGAACCTACAAAATCATCTAGGACTTTCAGAGACGGCCTATTTTGTTATAAATAATAATTACATAAAAGCACAATGAATGGGATCCACCACAATTATTGAAATACACATGCATGACCTGGAAATAGATTTCGTCCATTATACTAAAACCTATCAAAACTTCAAAATAAAGGTTCGGACGGTAACACAAGCGCAGATGGAAACGGCATTTATACTGTTGTATGTCTTTTAGACCGCCAAATTGGACGAACACGACGCCGAAAGTGCTTGAGATTTTTAGTTATATTCAGCTTATTCCCTCCCATATGTAGTACTCAGTATTAACTACTATTACGAGGCAATAACTTGACTCATTTGATTCATAAAAACAAAACAAATAGAGGTCAGCATAATGATAGCTAGAGCTTTCACCGGACAAAACAATACAGATACTCCTTTTTCATTTTAAGCTAACCATCGGACTGTACTGAAACAAAGAAAGATGCGGCTGAGATTTTACCAGTGAAGTATTAGGACAGTGCAGCCGTGCCGATTCTGCTAAAGAAAAGACGATGACCGTTCCGCTCCAGTGGCGATTCTCTATGGGTTTTTGAAAAATGCTAATTGACTGCCAATTTACTAAAAAAAATGTATAGGCTAAAAAGGTCGACCCTTGAAGTGAAAGTGTTCAATTAGCCCTTACTAGTAAACTCACCCGTGCGATGCACGGTTTGAGAATTTTTCTATCAAATTAAATTTATGTGTGCTTAGTGATTCAAATCGCACTATCAATTGATGGCATCATCTATCTTCATGTAATACTGACAAAGCATTAAACGAAACACACTTATAATATTATGGTCAAAATGAGAGTACTAAGCATTACTTTACCCGCAACACCGTCACCAATGCTGGCAATCCAATATGAAAAAACCTTCAAATGTAAGAATATGATGAATTAGTCGTGTTCTGCAGGTCCATATTTTTTTGTCAACCGAAGGACTGTGCATTCCGACCACAAATATGATGAATTAATTGTCGCATTGACTACATCTTTTCTACTCCCATGCGGTACCACCGGCAACATGTGCCGAAAATCAAAGGTTTATTTAAATTAATTGAAGGTAAATTATTTATGATGACTAAGTAATAAGGTGACTATAAATTTCCACGAGACAGTATTAATAAAAAAAATCCTAAGCTCATGAGACACACAATAAAAATGTTTTCAAGAAAAAGAAAAAAAAATAAACATTTATCCAAAGTTCTTAAGATGACGATTCCAAAAGAAGTTTAGGAAACTTTGGAATCTTAGGCTCTGGTACCAATTTAATTGTCACGCCCCGGACCGACCCAGTAGCGCCGACAATTGCCGCATAATCCATGAGAGTATCATTCTTGATCCTCTGATCAAATCATGCAAGGCACTCAATATCATTACACTAAATAATTCCACTCAAAGAAAGAATAATTATTGAGTAAATGTTTTAATATAAGTAAATGGATCTGATATAATTTAATGACATAATGGCACACAGGCTCAAAGTAGAGTTTTATGATGAAAGATAGTCTCCTGAGCAATTAACAAAATATTATACAATTTTCGAACAATACGAACCAAATTCCGCCCCTAGCAGATCCAAACAAGAAACGAGACTCCTAGATGTCTTCAAGGTTTCCTTGACATACAAATCTGTGAGGGGTCAGCTTGTGATACTGCCAAGATCCTCCTACTCAGTATACACACCATCTCACCAGAAGGGTTTCATGAAAAGGTTATTTAATATTGTATGATCATGTAAAAATTAATTATATATTCTTTCAAAATAATTACGTAAAATACTCAGCAAATATACTAATTTTATTTAAAGGTAAAGTAAGAAATATCCAACTTTACTTCATCAATATGCTTAGTAAGGTAAACTGCACGTATTAGGGACTTATTTATTAGTTAATTATATTTCACGGAAAATGACTTATCCGCTTGGCTTGTCCAACCTGACAAGGTTACTAAGACCCCGACACCATCGGCTCAAGTCATCATCCGAATCTAATTTCCTGAGAAGCTGACTTGTCCGCTCGGCTTGTCCAACCTGACAAGGTTACTTAATATCCACCCCCGCTGTACTCGAAATTTGGAGTATCGGTAGGTTCCTATTCTACACCCCCTAGTAGAATAATGATCTAGTACTGGCATCCTAGCACATAACAATTTCATGTCCTATTCTACCCTTAATAGAATAATAATATTCTTATGCTATATTTCTAACACATAACAGTTTCTCACATGGCCATTAAAATGTGTATGAGTAAAAGCACGTTCTCTTACGTTGTATGATAATGAAATAAATTTTAAATTCAAGACATTATCCAGATTGATTGAATATTAATATGCCTCTCTTACTTCAATCCAGATTTATTGAATACAATATATTTATCTTAATTTAATCATCTAATATTTCGTTTCCAATATTTATAAACTATCAACTAATTTTATGAACTAAACTTTGATGTTCCATTAATTACATACGCTCTATCAGTGATAATATTAATATTAGTAAAAGATAATATTATACTAAGTAATTACACATTCAATTAACGTATGAGTTAAAAGCTTTTATTATGTGTATTAATTAATTAATTAATTTCTAATAGTTAACACGAATACAACCATATTTGCTATTCTGATTCTTTTCATTTCTTTGTTTTTACTTTTCTTTTTTCTTTTTAATTTTAATACGTGCTTAGTACTATATACGAAGTATATGAGTAAGAACTTTTCTAAGGTGATTTTTATTCATTCACGTGGATATAGCCATATTTACACTATAGTTTTCACTTTTTATCATTCTGTTAAATTTAGTATGTTTGCTCCATAATTAACTAAGGTAGATATTACGTGTCCTTATTTGATGAAACATGTCATATGAGTTATTTAACACGTAGCAATCTACTCCCTCCGTAACTTAAAAATCTTCCCACTTTCCTTTTTCGTCCGTAACAAAAAAATCTTCTCATTTCTAAATCTTCCCATCATACCCTCAATAATTTCTAAAATAATAAACTATTACAACTACTTTTTTTGGATTTATCCTACATTCCACCACATTATTCCACAATTTTCCCATCATCCCCTCAATAATTCATATCATCTTTCACTATTCTTAATCTACCTACTTTTGAAATGGGAAGATTTCAAAGTTACGGAGGGAGTATCATACTTGAACAGATAGTTGTAACAATTTACACAAGTACAATTATAATAATATAATATCTTAATAAATTTAAACAGTATAACATTACATAATACTAGTAAATCACATCTAATAAAATCGTGTGTATATTAAGTGGAAACTTTTTAAACCTCACCTCGCGTAAACGCTGTTTAAGAGAGAAATATAATACGGAGTAATTGTTGGTCGATTAAGTTTTACACCCGTTCACCCTTCTGAGCTATTTTTTTTCCTTAGCTTACCCCATGCGAACGGATATACATAAAGTATCGGTTTTTTTTTATTCTTCTTTCTAGAGAAAGATACAAATTTGGACGAGTGTATATGGCTGGCTGCGCTCCTCTCCTCTGTGTGCGAGCCATGTATTTATACTAGTAGTATATTATCAATCCACCGTGTGGAAATAATAAGATGATAAAATTTCTACTACAATAATGGACTCACATTAAATATCTTTAGAACTATGCTAGCCACCTCATTTACTTGTATACGGCTGGCATTGAATAAAATAAATAAGACAATTTAATTATTGATGTACTGGGTCAGTTCTACAGGACAAGGGTACTGATATTTACTATTGATCGATAGTGGAGGGAAGAGCCACCGGAGTGGAGTATTATTAGAGCATCTCTAATGGGATGTCTATTCTCTTACATACTCTTACAATCGGGTCCCATTTTTTATCTCACAAATTTTATGTGTAGGACCTACATATCTCCATATTTATTTTCATTTTCATTTTTTTATATCACTTCTAACCTACTTTTCATCCACTTTTGCTCATCGATTCCCGTGTAATGTCTATTTGTGGACATTGTCATAGACATTGTCTACAATTTACTCCTATCTCTCTCTTCCTTTTCATTTTTCACACACACCACTTTCTTCATATTAAATTAAAATAATCATCTTATCTCTATCTCTCTCCTATGCCACGTAGGATAGATTTTACTCCAATCCACTACCCCACATCTTTCTCTTAATTTCATACCAAATTGTCTAAATTATGCATTGGGGTTGAATATTTAATTTTACTTATAATACAAAGAACTGTATGTATATATTAACGGAGTATATGTTTTAAGATTTTTAAGTTTACAGTTTGAAAACAAAGGAAATTAAACACATATTATTGTTTAATTAAAATGGTATGCATAATGACATAGTCAAAGAAGATAATTTACCTGGGTGTGGTCTAACAATTCTCCCTCCTTATGAGAATTTTGTCCCCGAAATTTCCTATAGTATTGAAAAGGAAAGGATATTGCTTCTTCATATAGTCTTCGGTTTCCCAAGTTTCTTCCTCAACTCGGTCACTCCTCCATAATATCTTCACTATTTTTATATCCTTGTTCCTTAGCTTCTTTACCCCCTCGTCCAATATCTTTATAGGTTGAACTGCATAGTTAAGATCTGGCCGTATCTCCACTGGAGGTTCTTTGAGAATGTGTGATGGGTCGGGCACATACTTTTTCAACATAGACACATGGAACACATTATGTATCTTCTCTAACTCAGGAGTTAATTGTAGTCTATATGCCACAGGTCCAATACGTTCAATGACTTGAAAAGGTCCAATGAAACGAGGGTTTAGTTTCCCTCTACTTCGAAATCGTACAATCCCTTTCCATGGCGATACCTTGTCCCCAACTACGAACTCCAATTCTCGTCTGCGATGATCTGCATAACTCTTTTGCCTATCCTGAGCAACCTTAAGTCTTTCGCGGATTAATTTTACTTTATGTTTGGTGGCTTCAACTAGCTCTGTACCCTCAAACTTGGTTATTCCTACCTCATCCCAACATAAAGGTGAACGACAACGCCTCCCATATAGGGCTTCGTATGGCGGCATCCCGATGCTTGCTTGATAACTGTTGTTATAAGCAAACTCCGCCAGTGCTAAATGTTTATCCCAACTTCCTGGAAAATCCATCACACAGGCTCTAAGCATGTCCTCAAGGATTTGAATTACTCGTTCTGACTGTCCATCAGTTTGAGGGTGGAAAGCAGTACTGAACTTTAGTTTTGTACCCATGGATGCTTGAAACTTAGGCCAGAAACGTGATGTGAATCTAGGGTCTCTATCTGAAACAATTGACACAGGGACCCCATGTAATCTCACAATTTCATTCACATACAGTTCGGCTAGCTTCTCCAGTGAGTAAGTCATGTGAATAGGTATAAAATGAGAGCTCTTTGTTAGTCTATCTACAATGACCCACACAGCGTCGAACCCTTTTGTAATGCGTGGTAGACCCACCACAAAATCCATGGTGATGTGTTCCCATTTCCATTCTGGAATAGGCAAAGGTTGTAACAATCCTGGTGGTCTTTGATGTTCAGCCTTAATTTGTTGACAACTCAAACATCGGCTGATGAATTCAGCAATCTCCCTCTTCATTCCAGACCACCAATAGCTTTCTTTCAAGTCGCGATACATCTTAGTACCGCCTGGATGCATAGCGTATGTTGAACTATGAGCTTCCTCGAGAATATTTCTCCGAAGCACTTTGTTTGAGGGTACACATACTCTATCTTTGAATAGTAGTAACCCATCTTCTCGTTCTTGAAAATTCTCAATTGTTTATGTGCGAAGACGAGCACGAATTTTCTGGAGTTCATCATCATCACTTTGACTCCTTTTTATTTCATCAAACAATGTTGGTCGAACTTCAAACCTTGCCACCAAATCTCCCTTAGTGGTCATTTCCAACTTCACCCTCATGTGTCTTAAACTGGATAACATAGCTAGCTTTGGTGATTTGCTTGTCCCCTTTCGACTCAAAGCATCAGCTACCACATTTGCCTTCCCCGGATGATATTCAATCTCGAGGTCGTAATCCTTAATTAACTCCAACCAATGCCTTTGTCGCATATTAAGCTCTTTTTGTGTCATCACGTACTTTAGGCTTTTATGATCAGTGAAAATTTGAGAAGTTTCCCCATAGAGGTAATGTCTCCATATCTTTAATGCGAACACCACGGCTGCTAACTCTAAGTCATGGGTTGGATAGTTTAACACATGCTTCTTCAATTGTTGTATATGATATATCCAAGTCCTTGTACAGGTAGTGCAAGAATGGGTGCTTCTGTTAACTTTTTCTTTAATTCCTTAAAGCTCTCCTCACATTGTTTGTCCCATATAAACTTCACATCTTTGCGTGTTAGTTTCATCATGGGTGAGGCCAAGACAGAGAACTTTTCCACAAATTTTCGATAGTATCCAGCAAGCCCTAAAAAACTTCTTACTTCCTTTGCGTTTCTTGGTGTCTCCCATTGCATGATTGCTTCGATCTTTGCATTGTCTACTGCAATTCCTTCTCCTGACACTACGTGGCCAAGAAATCCAATTTCCTTGAGCCAAAACTCACATTTAGAAAACTTGGCAAAGAGTTTCTTTTCACGAAGTGTTCCTAACACCAGTCTTAGGTGTTGTTCATGCTCCTCTTTATTCTTTGAGTAAATGAGAATATCATCAATAAAGACTATCACAAATTGGTCAAGGTATGGGTGGAATACCCAGTTCATTAAGTCCATGAATGCCGCTGGTGCATTTGTCAATCCGAATGGCATCACTAGAAATTCATAATGACCATATCGAGTACGAAATGCAGATTTTGGTATGTCACATTCTCGGATCCTTAACTGATGATAACCTGATCTTAGATCAATCTTTGAGAAAATGGTGGCTCCTCGGAGTTGATCAAATAGGTCGTCAATCCTGGGCAATGGATATTTGTTCTTGATTGTGACTTTATTTAGTTATCTATAATCGATGCACATACGGAGAGTCCCGTCTTTCTTTTTAACAAATAAGACCGGCGCTCCCCATGGTGAAAAACTTGGACGAATAAAGCCTTGATTTAATAATTCTTTTAATTGGGTTTTCAACTCCTTCAGTTCTACTGGTGCCATCCGATATGGGGGGATTGAGATAGGGTTTATTCCAGGATTTACTTCGATAACGAACTCGATCTCCCTATCAGGTGGAAGTCCTGGTAGGTCATCAGGAAACACATCTGGGAAGTGATTAACCACCCGAATGTCTCTGAGTTTGGTTTCTTATTTTGATTTGTCCACCAAATAAGCTATGTAAGCCTGGCAACCCTTTCTTAGAAGTCGATCAACTTTAACCGCTGATAATATGCTCATTGGCAATGCTTTTCGGTCTCCCTCGAAGTTTACATAACTTCCATCATTACACTCAAGTGGTACTATCTTTGTAAAGCAGTCCACTTTTGCGTGATGTTTCTCGAGCCAATCCGTGCCCAGAATGACATCAAACTCGATCATGTTTAGTGGTACAAGATTGCAGGTCAATGCCTTCTTATTTATCTCCAAATGACACAATGGATAATATTCTTTACGTTCCATTTCCTCACCAAGTGGTGTTGAAATAACTAGTGTCTTTCCTAATGGTTGTAAAGGAACACCCATTGTTGATGCAAAGACCTCATTCACAAATGATCGGTCTGCCCCAGTGTCGATAAGGACTCTAGCATCCTTACCGCAAATTTGCAACATTCCTATAGGTTTAATTAAAATGTTATCTAGTATAACCTTCACATGGTCTTTATTTTCTTATAATACTAAACTTAAAAAGGTTACACATAAATATTAAGTTAAACCTGCAACTGAGTCGGGGTTTGCTCGTGCATCATCTTCCGTCATTGCATACACACGGGCTTGAGGACGATTTTGGTTTACCGATGGTGCATTACTGATTGTACCTCCTTGATGGATTGTATTTCTAGGTGGTCCACCAGAATTACCTCTTTCACCTCTATTATTAACCGTAGAAGAACTTGTTTGTCTCAGTTGGGGGCAGTTTATCTTCATGTGATTTGGATCACCACATTTGTAACATTTTGGGGGTTCGTTGCATTTTCCGCCATGGTTCCTTCCACAGTTTCTACAAGGTAAGGATCCTTGCCCTATTGATCTAGGCCTTTGGCTATGTTCTGGAGTCTTGAAGGTGTTATGACCACCACTCCTACTTGAGCCACTATTGAATTTGTTAGCTTGTTGATGGGTGTGGGATTCAAGTTTCCTCTTCCTTTGATTTTCCTTGTTATATTCTAGTCTTTCTTGGTAGATTTCTTCACCATGGTAGGCTTCTTGTAGTGTTCTGCTAAAAGACTAGGTTGTTTTGAGTTTTCCTTTCTCTCGAATTCCCAAATTGAGAACATTCCAGAAGTGCCCACTCATTCCATTCTCATTTCGTCTGTATTCGGGTAGAAATCTTTGGAAATCTCTAAATTTCTCTTCCAGCCCCTTAACAGAGAGATCAGCTTGTCGTATGTTTGTGTATTGCTTCCTCAACTGATGAACCTCCAAGG